TATGGAAAAGCTATTGGAAGAACTGGATCTGAGTTGAGACATCTGCTCAGAAAAGTTCCAAAATTCACAGTTACTAATTATGATGGGACCCCCCTCCAGATTGGATCCACATTTCCAATCTTAGGGCACCTAACACTCACCTCACACTTTTACCTTCAGGATCTCTCACTAGATTTGGTGTTCGGACTTCAAGGTGACCTCTATTAGTGGACAAGTGGCTGCATTCATCAGTAAGTTCAACGTGGTAACATAAAACAGGTTGGTCCTGTTAATTATTAAGTTAAAAAACCCAGAGAAGTGTGGAAAATAAAAACAGTGTTGAATTCTTGTTAACGATAAACATCTAGCATTATAGTTCTTGATAGCATCTCGGTTTCATGAAATAATTTCCCCCTGATCTACCACATTCTCAACTCCCAGGAAACCTGTTTAGATATCCTCTTTTCTGTATTTTACATAGTTTTGTCAGTTCTCCATCAATCAGGATTGAGTACAAGCAGCCCTTGGCCATATATTTAATATAATGCCAAGTTTTTAAACTTTTTGTTTTTTTAAAAAATACATTACTCCTGATATAATAATTTTTTAAAAAAACATCCTTGAGTTACAAACATCCAAGTTACAAACAGAAGTGAGACAACAGGAAGTGAAAGAAATCTGCCCCTAGGAAGTGAAATTCACTCCTGGAAGAGTTATTATCATGGGGGAAAGGTGCCTCCGCTGAAGCTTTCTCACCAATCCTTGTTTTTAAAACAAGCCAAATTGTTCAAAATCCAATGATCTCAGAGACAGAAAGCGATGCAAAATCTTCTGAACATCTTTTGGGGCACAGACAGTAAAACAAACACCTTCCCTATGATATCCAAAGCATGTATGCAAGTATGTGTGTGTGTATAGGTAAAGGTTTCCCCTGACATTAAGTCTAGTTGTGTCTGACTCATCTCCATTTCTAAGTTGAAGAGCCGTCATTGTCCTTAGACATCTTCAAGGTCATGCGGCCAGCACGACTGCATGGACTGCCATTACCTTCCCGCAGAAGTGGTACCTATTGATCTACTCACATTTGCATGTTTTTGAACTGCAAGGTTTGCAGAAGCTGGGGTAGTAGTAGTAGTAGTAGCAGCAGCAGCAGTAGTAGTAGCTCACCCCACTCCCCGCATTCGAACTGCCAACCTTTCGGTCAGCAAGTTAAGCAGCTCAGCGGTTTGACCCACTGTTTTGTGCCACCAGGGGCCTATGTGTGTGTGTGTGTGTATAGCCCCCCTGGAGTTAAACTTAAAAGTGTTCCGACCTACATACAAATTCAACTTAAGAACAAACCTACAGAACCTTTCTTGTTCATAACTTGAGATAAAAGAGATACTGACAAGTTGGAAGGTGTCCAGAGGAGGGCAACTAAAATTATCAAAGGTCGGGAACCATGCCCTGTAAGGAGCATATTAAAGAGCTACGTATGTTTAGTCTGCAGAAGAGAAGGTTGAGAGGAGACATGCTAGCCATATATAAATATGTGAAAGGATGCCACAAGGAAGAGGGAGCAGGTTTGTTTTCTGGTGTCCTGGAAACTAGGACTCAGAGCAATGGAATCAAATTACAGGAAAATAGATTCAAATTGAACATTAGGAAGAACTTCCTGACAGTAAGAGCTGTTCAACAGTGGAACTCTCTGCCTGGGAGTGTGGTAGAAGCTCCTTCCTTAGGAGCTTTTAAGCAGAGGCTGGATGGCCATCTATCAGGGGTTCTTTGATTGTGTGTTTCCTGCATGGCAGGGGGTTGGACTAGATGGCCCAGCTGGCCTCTTCCAACTCTATTATTCTATGACTATCCGACCCCTGCCACACGTTGCTGTGGCCCAGTCTCTGTATATGTGTTTTGTGTGTGTATGTATATGTGTATATATATGTTTTTATGTGTGTATATGTGTGTGTGTATGTATACGTGTGTACATATTTGTGTATTTCTATGTTTATATGTGTATATGTATATTGTGAATATGTGTGTGCTTGTGTATAAGCATATATGTGTGTGTGTATGTGTATATGCATGTAGATGTATATGTATGTGTGTATATACATGTATATTTGTGTGTGCTTATATGTGTGCATGTGTTGGTATGTATGTGTGCATGTTTATATGTATATGAATGTATGTGTATATGTATGTATGGTTTATTTTGGGGGGTTTTAAAGTCTGTTCTGCTTTGTGTGTGTGTGTGTGTGTGTTTTTTTTAAGGGTTTTCTGCTGTGTTTTTTTCAGTGTTTTATGAGTGATGGTCACTTGTTGGCTTGATAGGTGTCTTGTGTCCAAATTTGGTGTCAATTCGCCCAGTGGTTTTTGAGTTATGTTAATCCCACAAACGAACATTACATTTTTATTTATATAGATTCCATGACTGCCTCTACCTTGGTTGTCATAAATTTATTTAATCCATTCTCGAAAGTTTGCTCCAAATTTCATCTTCCCATGGCAAGGTGAACATGATGAAAGTCAAGAACATGAAATGAAGGCAGCCTAAATTTCATTGCAGTTAAATAAGATGGATGTTATGCTGGGAAGCTGGAAACTTTTTTGATTTCCGTAAGTATATACAAGGAAATGTGCTTGGATGATTTTCACAAGTATGTGTTTTACCACGTAACATATTGATTAAAAACCTGGTACTTAGGGTGTATAGTGAGCCCGGAAAACGGGGAGCTATTACCCAAATCTTTCCATTTTGCCTACTTGGGAGAACAAAAAAACTCATAGTAAGTTAGCGTGGAATACTGTTTTCAGCGGCCTTCCTCCACTTCTACTTCAATTAGGGCTAATTACCCCTCACAATTTTGCAGCCATTTTCTGACAAAGGATGAAAATAAATTACCCCTTGAAAGAGACTGTGAAGCATCTTTCCCCACCTCATCCCACTGGATCTCAAGGGACCATTACAGTCAATTAGGCAGGCATTCCTACCTGCTTTTGTCTGTGGATAATGACGCACCCAAATCTATGTTTTCTCTCTCTATAAAAACCTGGGTTCCCTGCAGTTTCATTGATCAAGAGGTCCAGCAACTCCAAACAGACGGCAAGGTAAGTCTTCTTCAAATCAATGAAGAGGTTTGGAGGCTTTGGGGTTATCAGTTAAGGGTTGGGGTTGGGAAACTGGCTGCAGTCTTAGACTCTTCTGCTCAAGGTGGTTTTTGAAGCAGTAAGATAATAATAATAATAATAATAATAATAATAATAATAATAATAATAATAATAATAATGTAAAGATTCCCCCTGACATTAAGTCTAGTCGTGTCTGACTCTGGGGGGTGGATAGCCATGAGCTGCTAACAGGAGGGAAAATGACATATAAAATCGAACATTACATCAATGATGGTTGAAGTAGCTCAAAAGGTGGATAAGGGACTGAAAAGTCAAGACTAGTAAGTCATTCACTGAGTTCACAGTTAAAGGGATTTCTGAACTTAATGCACAACAACTTACTTGCTTAGGCGATCTCTTGCAGCCCAAAGATGATGGTCCTCCAAGTGTCTTGGCGGTGGGTCCATAGGTGGCTGTGGAGCCCTATTCTTGATCTGCATGTTCTCCCGCAGTGAGGTCATTAGTTTCCAGGTGGAAGGCAGTCCTGGTCAGGGTTGGCTTGACATTCCTTCCTCTTGGCACATTTCTCCCTTTTGCCCTCCATTCGTGCCTCTTTGAATTCTGCAGCACTGCTGGTCACAGCTGACCTCAAGTTAGAGCACTCAAGGACCAGGGCTTCCCAGTTCTCGGTGTCTATGCCACAGTTTTTAAGGTTGGCATTAAGTCCATCTTTAAATCTCTTTTCCTGTCTACTAACATTATGTTCTTGAATTGGGAGTATAGTAACTGCTTTACACTGTTTATGATAAAATATGTGGCTTCCATATAAAATGTGGAAAGCTACTTTATACCAGTTTGCTTTATGTTTATTCATCTAGTCTCTTTCTTTAAAAAAATTCAATGTCTGTGGATCTCAACTCTGTGGTTTTATTGGTGTGTGCAATAGAGGTAATTCTTTTCAAAATTTTCTATCTGGTTACATACATCATACCTTTCATTTACATTAGTAGTGACTGCTTGCTTCCATATCTGTGGGTTAGCAAATCCACTTTGTTTATTTGTTTTATCTTTAAAAGAGCTATCCAAGGTCCTGAGTTCTGTCACCAAATTAGGTTTGAAACCATTCTTAGCTCATTTAAAGTTTGGACTAAAGCACATAATGTGTTCATTGCCCTAATGACACAGGAACCACGAGCTACCTCCATACATAGTATGTATATATTATCTACCTGGGTGGTGCCATTGTTTGTGGTCCAATGGATTTGCAGGCATCTTGAGGAGAGAGGGTGGATTATAAATAAATAAATAAATAAATAAATAAATAAATAGGTCCCCTGGTGGCACAGTGGGTTAAACTGCTGAGCTGCTGAATTCGCTGACTGAAAGGTTTGTGGTTTGAATCTGTGGTGCGGGGTGAGCTCCTGCTGTTAGGCCCAGCTTCTGACAACCTAGCAGTTTGAAAACATGCAAATGTGAGTAGATGAATAGGTATCATTTCAGTGGGAAGGTAACGGTGCTCCATGTAGTCATGCCGGCCACATAACCTTGGAGGTGTCTATGGACAATGCTGGCTCTTTGGTTTAGAAATGGAGATGAGTACCACCCCCCAGAGTGGACTCTATTAGACTTAATGTCAAGGGGAAAACATTATTATTATTATTATTATTATTATTATTATTATTATTATTATTATTTATTATTATTATTATTATTATTATTATTATTATTATCTTACTGCTTCAAAAACCGTTTTGGGCAGAAAAGGCTAAGACTAAGAGAAGATGTTATGTTATATAGCTACCAAGCACACCAATACATTGGAATGTATGCTTTCAGAAAGTTGTGTCTGTTTCTGTCATTTGTTCCTGGTTACGGCATGACAGCAGAGTGGGATTGAACTCCTCTTTACTTTCTACTCTTTCCTGCTTTAGATGTGGATCTCTCGGGCCATGTTCTGCTTCTCTTTGATTCTCTGTGGACTGCTTGGAGAATGCTTTGGAATTGCACTTGTGGTGAGTTAGATTGGTCACCCTATTATCCACACTAAATAGCCATCAGGTCTGCACATCCCATCCTCATATCTTGTGGTCTAGTCCAGTCTGCACATTCAGAAGATACAAGTTTATTGTATGGGCCCAAGGCCATGACAAAAAGCACCACATGCACACAATAGTGCCCTCGGAGCAACAGGCACTAAAGATGCTAAATAGAAAGCATAATCATGCTCCCAAAGAGCAAAAACAATGCAATACAAGTGAACAATAATTAAAGTACATTTTTGTAGAGTATTGTGGTAGTTTTGAGGATGCCATGTCTGATCACAAGTGAGAGATTCCATCTGTGAACGCTTGTCCGCCTTAAAAAAGAAATAATAATTGGAAAACCCGTTGTGCTTTACTTCTAAGTGGATTTGTGTACGATTGCATTGTGAATAGAATAGTGTTCTGCTAAAGAAAATTCTCTTTTCTATAATGCTGATCCAATTTTAGGGAAAGGAGACATGAAGCAGAAAATGTAACATGCATTAATGGTAGTAGATCTGTGTGTCTGAGAGAGGGAGAAAGAAAGAAAGAAAGAAAGAAAGAAAGAAAGAAAGAAAGAAAGAAAGAAAGAAAGAAAGAAAGAAAGAAAGAAAGAAAGAAAGAAAGGATAGTTCTATTGTTTACTTCTGGACATGCTGTAATTCAAAGAGGATTTGTTCAATACAGAAAGAAAGTGTGTTACCAAGTGGCTGTAATATTGCTTCCTTTTCCTGACATTATTAGGAAATGCAAAACTTCTATCCAGGTGGCGAACAAGCTCCTTCCTCCTCAGCAAAATACTTTGATTTTTTTTGTAGTCCAACGAGTCAACATGGCTGATGGAGAGATGAGGAATAGGGACTCTTTTAACACCATCTGGGGATCTGGGAAAGCAGAAAAAATATTGTGATATTTCTAGTCAATTTGAGGCTATTTGGAGGTGATTATATGTATGTGCAGGAAAGACTAGGCCATGTGCTTTAAGATGTTTGCAGTTGGGGGATCATTTCCCCCCAGTGTTCCAGGAACCACACAAAGGGATTTGTCCTCGTCTACAATGCTTGCTTGCTTGCTTGCTTTCTGTCTGTCTGTCTGTCTTTCTTTCCTGAAAACTCTGCAGGCAGTGGCAGCCAGTTTCTGATAGACTGGTACTAGTCCATTGCTCATCTTCCTGAATAGCACATTGGTTGAAGTGAGGATGATAAGATCCTGATTTAGTATAATGCTCCTATTGTTCTTTCTATAGCCCAAGGACAAGCGTGGTTGGACCCTGAACAGTGCTGGCTACCTACTGGGACCCCGTAAGTTGATTCAGCTTTGGGGTGACACAAGAAATATAATAACCAGAATGTAAAGCAAGGGGCGAGTGACTTGTGGCTTCCAGATATTTTTGATCTGCCATTCCCATCAGCCCTAGCTGGTAATGGGGAATAATTGCAGTCTAACAACATCTGGAGAACTTTAGATCCCCCATCTTCTATAAAAAATGTTGGAATCAGCTGTTAGGCTCAAAAGAATAAATATAGCAGAGTGCTAGAAACAGACTTCATAACCAGCAGAAACTTGTGCGTGGTGAGTCAAGATTAGCTTCAATTCAACAGGATGGCACAGGATTGCAGAATCATAACTTTAGATTCAAAATATTTATTGAAGTAAAAAGAAATCCCTTCTAGATAGAAAAGGGTCTTGGAGCTAACTAGCTTACTAAGCTCATCTTCTAAGGAAGGTAAAAGGATAAAAATATCAATAATAATAATAATAATAATAATAATAATAATAATACTTTATTTATACCCCGCTACCATCTCCCCAAGGGACTCGGTGTGGCTTACATGAGGCCGAGTCCACAATACAACAATACAAGCAAAACAAGAAGTAACAAATACAATACAAAGCAATTAAAATAAATCTCATACACAAATAACATAAACATTGGACGAGGTACCATGCACATTTAAAATCTATGGCTGGGCCAAATGTAATTGAAGTTTAAAAAATATCCATGCAGCTACATTTTGCCTGGAGAAAGGCAAAATGCATCCTTACTGCAAGGGAGACAAAGGCAGAAGAGAAAGGGCAATGGAGAATGACCGCATGGCCAAAACCCAGGGCAATAATAGTACAATTAAAGAGGAAGTTACTTCACCCCTCACAGAGATTCCATTGCTACATTTTCAAAGTGGGGAGGAGATAGTGGCAATCAAGAAGAGTGAGACAAAGCCCCTTCTGGGAAAAGCATGTATAAGATTGTGGGGAAAGGAATCCCTCACTCTAATCCTATATTTAAGTTTAGCTACTCATTGAGGACTGGAGACTTGTGCAGTCCAGGGATGAGACTGGAAAGCTGTTGTGGTGGTGGCTATGTGCATTTGTGTTGTTTCTGACCACTTTTGGCAGTTTTCCTTAGCCACAGTTACCTGCTGCTAGCCTAAAGGAAAAGAAACAATTCTTTTCCATTGATGAATATTTCTTGCCTGGTATCTTAGGGGTATGACTCTTATGTGCCACCAGGCAAACTGGGCAGTAGCATGTATATCCTTGCTGTAATTCGTCTTCTTTTTTATTTTATCTGCCGCAGCACTTCTTCCCTTCCACTCTCCTGTTCCCAAAGCAGATGCCCACCAGACTATGTCTGACAAAGGAGGCCTGGCTGGTAAGCGAGATACTGTGGAGGAACTGTATCCTCGAGGAGAAGAGTCCTTTGGTGAGTAAGCACCTCTGCCTGACTCCTCTGTCTTCTCCCCACTTCCTCCATTCATTTGCACTGACCCCCTTCAACTCTGTTTCCTCTGCATTCAGGGCATAGTGTGCAACCCAGAGATAACAGCAACCTCCAAAGCCTGATGGATTTTCTCTCCTACCTGAACCTTCAAGGTGAGGCTAGATGGCAGTGTGTCTTTGGGAAGAGAATGGGATGTGCACGGTTAACATGCTTAGGGACTGTCTCTAGACTTGTAAACCTCAAATAGAGGAAATATATCTCTACAACAGAGGCACATGTGTTGCATACAAAAGGTCCCAGATTCAGGTCCTGGAATCTGCAATTATACAGGACTTCATAGAGTAAGTTGATGATAGTAAATACCCTCTGTCAGTCAGAGTAGGTGATACTGGAACAGAAGAACTTGCTACACAGCACAAGAACAATAACATTCTTGGTATCTTTGTTTTTAAGCTTGATGTGAGGTTATTTGGCACACTGATTCAGAAACCTGCATCCCATATCAGCTCTAGTTTCTTAGATATGGTTATCATGGTTTTTTGTGGACGGGCAGATGGCAACTGGTATATGGCATATATTCTGAATCTCAACTAATGCTAATAAGGGAAAACTGATGGCATTTTTGGAATCAGCAGGTCAAATATACCCAGAAACTGGGCTAATATTTGAGGCACCAAAATGTGTGTTGGTCATTGTTATTTTACCTGGTATAAGTCAGCTTGCTGTGGATAGCTTCTTGTGGTTTAAGGGCAAGCTTCAATGTATTCTATGTTTCCCAACCTGGGGGTCGGGACCCCTGGAAGAGTCATGAAGGGGTATCAGAGGGGTTGCCAAAGTATTTATTGTTGGTCATGGGGGCTCTATATGGGAAGTTTGGCCCAATTCTATCATCGGTGGGGTTCAGAATGCCCTTGACTGTAGGTGAACTATAAATCCCAGCAACTACAACTCCCAAATGTCAAGGTCCATTTCTCCCAAACTCCACCAGTGTTCACATTTGAGCATATTGAGTATTCCTGCCAAGTTTTGTCCAGATCTATCATTGTTTGAGTCCACAGTGCTGTCTGGATGTAGGCGAACTACAACTCCAAAACTCAAGGTCAATGTCCACCAAACCTTTCCAGTATTTTCTGTTGGTCATGGGAGTTCTGTGTGGGAGTTTGGTTCAGTTCCATCATTGGTGGAGTTCAGAATGCTCTTTGATTGATTAACTATAAATCCCAGCAACTAAAACTCCCAAATGACAAAATCAATCCCCCCACCAACACCACCAGTATTCAAATTTGGGCGTGTTGGGTATTTGTGCCAGATTTGGTCCATTGAATGAAAATACATCTTGCATATGAGATATTTACATTATGATTCATAACAGCAGCAAAATTACAGTTATGAAGTAGCAACGGAAATAATGTTATGGTTGGGGGTCACCACAACATGAGGATTATGTTATTAAGGAGTCGCAGCATTAGGAAGGTTGAAAAACACTGCCCTACACAATGAGAGTTGTAAGATATTACTACACTCTGGATAGGCAAAATATACACAAAGTGTACAGAACAGGCAAGGATAAGGACCTAAAAGTTCCTTTGTTTCTTTTTTCAGACCAACGAGCTGTTTCACGCCTGCCCCTGCCGCTGTTGGATGAGCCAATTCAACAGTAGTAGACTCTGACCTGTGCTCCTTCCACTGCTTACTAATTCCACAATTCCCATTTCTCTTCCACACTCTCTCTCTCTTTTCCAACCACTTTACCCTTGCTCAGTCTTGTTTTTTCCAGAGTTAGATAATTGACACTGCTTATCTGCCCTCCCTTTTATTAACTCTTATAGCTCTTTAAATGACATGTGCATTGCCTTCTGCATGCTTGGGTTTGGAGTAAGCTGCACTTCAGTTTGTAGAAAAACAAGGGATGTATCTATTTTGAGTGTGAGCTCATGACAACATTTGCAAAGGGTTGCACTTTTGCCATAACTTGCCTTTCCGTGAGTATCTGTAGCTTAGGAGAAGAAAGCAAGCAGAAAGTCTTAATTGTTGGTGTCTCCATTTGAATGGATCTGGTTATGGATTGATTCCCCTTCGGGGTGAGAAGGGCGGCTTATAAATATAGTAAATAAATAAATAAATATTATCTTTAGTTAGACTATGGAAAAGAGTGGCCAGATTACACAATACAGTTTATCCCATTTTTCTACAGGATTGCAATTTCATTTATTTGTGTCTACCAAAATATGTCATTTTAAGGCATTTTCTAGGTCAGGTATGGGCAAACTTCAGCCTTCTAGGTGTTTTGGACTTCAACTCCCACAATTCCTAACAGCCTCAGGCCCTTTTCTTTTACCCCCTCAGCTGTTTAAGCCGAAGATGGAATCCATGAAGAAGGGCCTTTGATGCTCGAATATTAGCTTTGAGAAAGGCCTCAGCCTGAGAGAGCCCTCAGTGTGAGAAGATCTCAGTGGGAGAAAGGCCTCAGTGTGAGGTAGGCCTAGTGTGAGAAGCTTAAGCAGCTAAGGAGGAAAAGGAAGGGACCTGAGGCTGTTAGGAATTGTGGGAGTTGAAGTCCAAAACATCTAGAGGACTGAAGTTTGCCCACACCTGCCCTAGGTCATCCAGTGCTGGAAGTTTGTTCAGTGGGTTTTGCTATTACCCAGAGTTTTGCTTATCTATGGGAGGTCCTGGGACATATCCCTCACAGATGTGGGGATTGTGTTGGCTTGGCTAGATGGACAAATATGGCTGTAAATCAAGACAGATGGGCATTGGGAACATCTTTGAAAATTCCCTTTTAAAACTATGTCTCCTTCATAATCTGATCTGGTATAACACCTATACCCTTAATGCTTGCACTCACTTGACTAAACTATCAGCCTTAGAAAAGTTACTTATTTAGACAGCAATTCCTTAAGTCTTTCTTGATACCTCTGGATGGGATATTTTTAGAGTTAGTATTTAAAAAGGTAATTTTCTAAAGATATGGAAACAAAACAGGCAGAAAGATACACATTGCCCCACTGAAGCATTCTCCTTATCTCTTGCTCAAGACTTTCACTTAAATCAACTAATTTCCCTCCTGCTTATGGAGGGACTTGTACTTGAGGCTGCCCTTGTGCCTCAGAGAAGCCCTGTAGACTGACTAAATAAACTTTTCTCTTCTAAATTGCTTGTCTCCAGTGTTGTTGTGTTGGAATGATACCAGATGAAGGGAACAAAATGGAGTCAGATGTACTGTATTTAGCATCTTCTGAGTGTCTCAACGAACGACAAACCTCGGGATTTCATAGGACACAGTTAAAGTAGAATCATAATGTCAACAATGTCCAGAGTTAAAGGGCCCTGTACTGGAACTGCACCAGTTCCAGATCCCTTTGTTTGGCTCTCTCACTCATAGTTTTAGAGCAGTTACTGTTATGTTAGTTTTTTATAAGGGTGGAGCTTAGGAAAAACCTCCCTGGCTTGTGTCAGCCATTTTGTTTGTCCTTTTGTCTGAGGGAAAGGGAGCCATTTTGTGTCAGTTAGTTGGCCACACCCCCTTTTGCCTGAGGAAAAAGGAGCCGTTTGTGACAGTTGATTGGCCACACCCCTTCTCTGAGGTAAAGGAGCCATTTTATAACATAGACCACCAGGAAATCCTTGAGGCAGGACGTGTCTTCAGTCGGTCGCAGAGATTCAGGCTTGGACAAGCCATTTCAAATCAATTTAACATAACCAATTGTGCTTCACCATCAATAACCACAAAGAGTAGCTATAACTTAACCAGTTGTGCTTCACTATCAACCAGTTACCATCAGCTAATTACTCTATGACCAGTACTTCCATCTATTAGTTAAACAACAACTGGTTAACTGTGATGGCACACCCGAGCCTTTGGGAAAACTATATCGTCTGGCTTTACTCGGGGGCTATCTGTATACCTTCTGTTAAGATTAAGATCCTTAGCAGACAGAAGCACTTTACGCAAGGTGAAAAGATAACCAAATGAATTTACTGAAACAAGATGAATATAGAGTTAACTTCACCCAGAACTATCATAAGGTAACTTAAAACAATACATTATAAAAGGAGATCTTGCTGGTTGCAGTCATCTTTCTGGGGTCTTTGAAAGTCACTCTTGCCTCTGGTGCAAAATGATGAATTATAAAATGTTGCTTACAAACTGTCTTAATCTTCTCTCCTGTGAATCTTAGGCTGGCCCAAAGCTTCTGTTGTCCTTTGGACTGTTGGTATAAAAATACTGCTAAATGCAGCCGGTGCTAAGAATGTCTGTTTTGGATTGCTAGGCCTAGGATACCAGACAATATCCAAGCCTCTACTTCACTGTAACTCTGCTGTAGAAAAAAGGAAGAGCCCAGCAAAGAGCTTTGTGCTGGGAAATGGAATAGACCAACTAAGATTGGCCTCTGGGGGATTTTAAGCTCCACCCAAAAACTAATACAAAAGAAGTTATCTACACTATTGGGAAGGCCTATAAACAGGGGGAATTAAAGCAGAGGAGAAGAAAAGAAAAGGCAGAGCTGAGACTTCACATTAATGCCTTGGGTTTTGGGTGCCCTTAAGCCCCATACACCAAAGACTGAGCAAGGAGAACTGTCACAAAAATCCACTCCTGGCAGTCTCAGAATCATTAAGTTATATTTCAAGTTTTAAATTTTAACTTTATTGTGGGTAAATAAAACTAGTGCCTGGGTGAAGTTAGTCCCAAGTTCTGTTACTAAGTCGTTACCTTTTCCTCAAAGCAACAGCATGGACGTTAATTCTGTGGGGCTCCTTATTCCAAAAGAAGGCATCTAGCATCCCCCAAGATGACAGAGATCTGAGACACGTCATTTCCAAAGAAACAGCTTGGGATGACGGCACAGACCCCAAGACAGCATCCTTGATGATGATCAATTCTTGGGTTCTTTGGGAAGGGAAATGACGACAGAGGTCTTGCATGCTTGTGGCCCTTTAATTGAGAATCACTGTACAGAAATTAGCAGGTAACATTTTTACAGGCATATAGCAAAACACAGTTGCCTTGAGGCAGATCAAAACTGGCAATCTTATATTTAGTACCTTATATTTATATATATATTTATATTTAGTATCCCACCTTTTCCTTCAAGAAGCTCAGGGCAGCATGCATGGTTCATCCCTGCTCGTACCAGTTGAATCTTTGCAACAACTCTAATGAGTAAGTTAGGATGAGATAATAATCAGATGGAGAGGAAGGAGTCTTCAAGGATGAGAGGGGATTTGAACTTGGATCTTCTATGCCAACACCATTTTTCTTGGTGGAAATCCTGTGCCCTGATTTTGTGGTTGGCTATCGCTTCAATTAGTGTTTTCCTTCTGAAAGACTAGACATGCTGCCCATCAGTTTTACAAGGACCCTATAGTCCAAAAGAATGCTCTAGCACCCTCCTTGCAATAAACCAGTAAGTTTCAAATACTCCAAGGTGGACCCTGAAGATGGAAAGTCACCCATTCCTGCTCTTGTGTATCAGACTCTGGATACCTTTTTATGCAATGTCATTCAATCACATACACTGAGATCCAGGCATATCTATTAAAGCAGTGGTTCTCAATCTGGGGTCCCCAGATGTTTTTGGCCTTCAACTCCTATAAATCCTAACAGCTGGTAAACTGGCTGGTATTTCTGGGAGTTGTAGGTCAAAAACATCTGGTGACCCCAGGTTGAGAGCCACTGTATTAAAGGGTTTCAGTGAGTAGTGCAATACAGTACGGCCCTCGTACCCATGAAAACATTACCTGTGGTTCCACCTATCTGCACCTGGCAAATATATGCAGATAGGTGGTCCTCCATGCATGCTACTACTGAACCTATCGCCCTGGAGAACCAAACACATTCCAAGAGGAAATACTTCTCTAGAAATTTTATAGGTCCTCTAGGACCTGATAACTTCCATTGGAAGTCATTTGGTTTAGTAGGGCTTGCTGTTATCCATAGTTTCCTGATTTTATGGGAAGTTCTGAAATGCATCTCCAATGGATAAAGGGGTTGTAATGGACAGTTAACTTGTCTCCCATCCCACCTGCCATTGCTTTTGCCCCTTGCCAGTTCACTGCCCTATCTCAATCAGAGTTCACCACCAAGAATTTCTGCATATAGGAGTTGAGCCACTTCTGCCTTTCCATTGCAGTCAGCATTTTGCTTTTCTCCCGGAAGGCAGTGTCATCGGCGACCACAATGCTCCGCTTCCCACCCCATCCTGGAACCCAGCCGGAGGGATACAGCATCGCTCTTTGGCCCCCAGGAAAGCTGCCTTCTTGTCTCACTGGGTCCCACAGTTGGGACGTCCTGTCTTCCCCATCATCTTTGCTGTCCTCCTCTTGCGGCGCCGAGACATCTGAAGACATCCACTTGAGGCTCCAGTCACGCAGCGTGATGGAAGGGCTACGGATATGCCAGGGAAAGAGGGAGACCTTGAGGTCATCACTGCTCCCTGCTGGAGTATACTGGGATGCCTCACGCTTCCAAAGCCTGATGGGACAAAAAGTATGGAGAAGAAACTTTCTTCCAAGACCCATTGTGAGAGGACTACAGAAACAGAGTTGTATCTACACTGTATTGTCAAAGGCTTTCATTTCCAGAATCACTGTATTCTTGTAGGTTTTTTGGACTATATGGCCATGTTCTAGAAGCATTCCCTCCTGATGTTTCACCTGCATCTATGGCAAGCATCGTCACAACCTCTGAGGGTGCTTGCCATAGATGCAGCCAAAACGTCAGGAGAGAATGCTTCTAGAACATGGCCATATAGCCCAAAAAACCTACAACAACCCAATGCAGTTTGACACCACTCAAAATGCCTTGGCTCGATGCTATGGAATCATGGGATTTGTAGTTTGTTGAAGGATCTTCTGAGAGAGAAGGCCTTATAGAACTACAACTCCCAGGATTTCCCAGCATTGAGCCAAGTATTGTCAAACTGCATTCATTCTATACTGTAGCAGTCCTGGTTTTCCATATTTGGTCAAAGCAAATATCCTTAAGGGGGTTGAATACACAATAATATATTATGTAGTTTCACAATATTTGTTACATTTTTGCTTTTCCATCATCAATTTTACTCTCTATTAAGGATCAATAAAGCCCTGTTGTTGATGGAGAACCACAGAACCTTAACTAATGGGCCAGTAAATGCGGTGGAAAGTCCATATGTGAATCGCCCAATTTAGAGAACTCCCTAACAAAAATAAGACCTGATTTGGACTTTGTTTTGGGAAGTGGGGCAATTCCACCTGACTTGCTTCAATCACCATCCATTTTGCTCCTAAAGCTGAATTTTATTTCAGGACATCCAAGACTTCTTTGACTTACATGGGGAAATGCAAATAGTAAGGGGTCTCCCTTCAGTTTAAATAATAATAAATAAGCTGACCAGGTTGGAATAGTGAAAGCAAAGATTGAGCAATTGATAATGTCAGTTGATTTTCATGACCGGAATCACTGGGTTGCTGTGAGTTTTCTGGGTTGTATGGCCATGTTCCAGAAGCATTATCTCCTGACATTTCACCCATTTCTGTGGCAGGCATACTGTTGGAAACTAGGCAAGTGGGGTTTATATATCTGTGGAATGTCCAGGGTGGGAGAAAGAACTCTTGTCTGCTGGGGGCAAGTGTGAATGTAGCAATTGTCCACCTTGATTAGCATTGAATAGCCTTGCAGCTTCAAAGCCTGGTTGCTTCCTGCCTGAGGGCATCCCCTGTTCTTTTGTGGAAAATTTCAACAGAAAGGAGGAAACCATAAAAATGAACAAATTCTGGCTACTAGAATTTTAAAAACTCTAAAATCAGGACAATAAATAAACAGCAACACTCAAAGAGAAGGGAAATTCCAGACAGGAAACAATCAGGGCCAGCTAACACTTCCCAACAAAAGATTTCCCCAGGCAGGAAGCAGCCAGGCTTTGAAGCTGCAAGGCCATTCAATGCTAATCAAGGTGGCCAATTGCAACATTCACACTTGCTTCAAGCAGGCAAGAGTTCTCATTCCCAACTTGGACATTCCACAGATATAGAATCATAGAATCAAAGAGTTGGAAGAGACCTCATGGGCCATCCAGTCCAACCCACTGCCAAGAAGCAGGAATATTGCATTGAAATCACCCCTGACAGATGGCCATCCAGCCTCTGTTTAAAAGCTTCCAAAGAAGGAGCCTCCACCACACTCCATATATAAACCTCGCTTCCCAAGTTTCCAATAGACCTCACAACCTCCGAGGATGCCTGCCATAGATGTGAGTGAAACATCATGAGAGAATGTTTCCGGAACATACAGCCTGGAAAACTCACAGCAACCCAGTATTTTAGTATTGCCAGCTGAAAGTTCCTATACATTGAATGATTGCGAAGAAGAGGGAAAATCATCCTACAAAACCGGGGAACAAGCTGCATTTGCTGAAATTCTCTCTTCTAAGCAACCATTAAAGACACATGGACCCTTTTAGTCTGGCAACCCCTAACCTAATCGCTCCTGAAGTTAATAGATTTAGAATGAGTATATCAAGATAATAAAAACAAACTCTAATGGAAAAGCGTCCACTTACCTGCCTGAATTGGGAAGCAAGGTCCCTGAAGTCAGCAGCCAACTTGAGTTGAGGATTACTACAATGATCCAGAGACCTTTGTGAGTTTCTTTTGTCCGTCTCATTGCTGTTAACATCAAGAAGAAGAACAACAACAAGGAAGAAACATGTCCTGAAAAAAAAGTTAAATGTTGGCTCTTTTAAAGCAGATCTACATGTAACATTTTCCCCTCCTTGCTTAAGAGCGCTTACCTCCACTTGTTATGGACACCAGACTCTTACCTAGGTGACTTGCCAATACAGTAAAGACTTATTGTAGTCAGATTTGGTTTCCTCCTCCGGTGATCTGCTTCAGGGGCATTTATAACCCCCTCTTCCTTTACTTGTGATGCAAGCAGCGAGACCGGCACTGGAGCTGTATGGAGGCGATGGGGTCTAGATCAATGGGAAGGCAAGTCAATGTCTTGAAGATGGGAAAGATGGAATGGATCAGGTCAGAATAGATTGCCCCATGTCATTCCAATAAAGAAAATAATGAGGCACATTAAGATTGCACTCCGTGCATACTTGTACATGAGAGCAAGTGAGAAAGTTTCTAGGATGACATATGGAAGTGAACAAGAAAAATAGACAGACCTATACAGGTTATTGTACAGAAAGAGACAGAAAGATGGATAAATCTATATCAAATAGAACAAAAAAATAGGAAGGAAGGAAGGTAAGTCAAACTGCTGGGAAGCAAATGTCATCATAAATAAAACAATATCAATACAAAGAATGGAAGACTAACAATCGGCATCACAGGGAATGAGCAGCTTATGCCACATGTCTATCTGTTCCTTACATACTAATAAAATTATACTGGCTGAAGGAAGTGAATATTTGTATGTTGAATACTCAATTGTTTATTATTTTCCTTGCTACCTCATAATGATAATTTTGCTACTGTTGTGACTCATAATGTAAATATCTGACATGCAGGATGTATTTTCATTCACTGGACCAAATTTTGCACAAATACCCAATATGACCAAATCTAAATACTGGTGGGGTTGGATGTGTGTGTGTGTGTGTGATTTTGTCATTTGGGAGTTGTAGTTGCTGGGATTTATAGTTCACCTATAATCAAAGAGCATTCTGAACTCCACCAACAATGAAATTGAACCAAACTCCCACACAGAGCTCACATGACCAACAGAAAATACTGGAAGGGTTTGGTGGGCATTGGCCTTGAATTTTGGAGTTGTAGTTCACCTACATCCAGACAGCACTGTTGATTCAAACAATAATGGATCTGGACCAAACTTGGCACGGATACTCAATATGCCCAAATGTGAACACTGGTGGAGTTTGGGGAAAATAGACCTTGACATATTTGAGTTGTAGTTGCTGGGATTTATAGTTCAACTACAATCAAAGAGCATTCTGAACCCCACCAATGACAGAATTGGGCCAAACTTCCCACACAGAACCCCCATGGCCAACAGAAAATACTGTGCTTTCTAATGGTCTTTTTGGCAATCCCTCTGGCATCCCCTTGTGACCCCCCCCCCCGGGGTTCAGTCCCCCCAAGTTGAGAAACACTGCAATACAGACACCACATTTCCAGGGTCATAACTCTCAGCCTGGAATAATTTTGTTTATCATTATCAGTCTGCCAAGTTATGTCGAAGATTTTTTTTATTTATGTGAGATGCGGTTGTATGGTGGATCCTATGAAGAAATATTTGCCTTTAATTTGGAGCCCCAGGATATTGTTCCTGAGATGTAGTAGTAGTAGAAGCAGTAGTAGTAGCAGCAGCGATGATGATGATGATGATGATGATGATATCCCCACAAACACACCATCTCAGCAAGACACAAACTGGTAGCAAAAAAAAAATCTATCCAGAAGAATAGCAAATGTCATGTTTGCATTTCCTACACCATTACTTTTAACTGCACTGCGGATATTTCAACACAGAGAGCCATTTGTCCACCTTCATAACATTAGCGCAAGAAACCTGCATAAAGCAGCAATTGGCAAATGAAAGACAGAAAGAGATTGTAAAATGCAAACAAATGTCAACATCCAGCTAACATGTTGAGGTTAAAAGGCCAATGGAGACATGGACAGATAGGAAAATGAGCGCAGAAGTTGGACATAAAAGTATGAAGGTTTTTACAGTTTATTTATATGCGTGGAAGAAGGGAAAATGAATAAGGCAAGGAAATTAAACCAGCCCTTTTCCTCTTGTTTCTCATTATTAAGCAACTGCTATCGGATCCCCCTCGACCCTGATTGAAAGGTCTTGGCAGACACCGTCACTAATGAAAACCCAGAGCGCATTACAGAGTGATTCAGCTCATAGTTGTCGATGGAGGGTGGGCGTCTGGGTGGTCTCATTCCTCTTCAGGCCTCATTAACATTGATTTTGTTAGATGGGCACACACTAATAAGCCACCATTGCTCTCACCATGGCTTGGGCAGGAAGTTAAAACTTTATCTTGGACAGCTGGACAAACATAGCATAGATTGTGACATTTTCTTTCAAAGGTAAGCAAATCTAACCAAAATTGGAATTGGGCAATATTTTTTATTAAGGATTTAATGACTTATGTTTTTATGCGGTTATGATTTTATTGCTGTTAACATTTTTTAAACTGTACTTGTGTTTTTGTGGCATTGAATTTTGCCTTATAAACCGCCTCGAGTTGCTGGAAGGCTGAGAGGGGTGGTATACAAATAAAGTAAATAAAATAAAAAAGTGCTGGTGCTCACCTATAAAACCCTAAACGGTTTCGGCCCAGTTTACCTGTACAAACATATCTCCTCCTACAAACCGTCTAGGACCTTAAGATCATCTGGGGAGGCCCTGCTCTTGGTCCCACTGCCATCGCAGTTGCGTTTGGGAGGGACGAAAGACAGGGCCTTCTCTGTGGTGGCCCCTCGGCTGTGAAACCCCCTCCCCAATGTGGTTAGATCTGCCCCTTCCCTCTTGACTTTCTGGAAGAAGCTTAAATCCTAGTTATGGGATCAGGTGTTCACAGAATAGTGACTTGGACTGCTTAGATGACGATTTTAATTCTGGTGATTTTAATCTGCAGAGCAGGTTCTTAATGCAATTTAGAATTATTTTAATTTTATGGATGTATTATGTGTTTTATGTTTGGCCTGTTTGGAAGCTGTTCTGAGTCCCTCCACGGAAGTTGAGAAGGACGGGGTATAAATAAATAAATAAATAAATAATACATTTTATATATGAAATAGATACAGTACACAGAAAGATACAAGTTACAGAGAAAGTCAAGGAAAGCAGATACATGTATTAAATGGTTACAAATGATAAAATCTTGGGGGGGGGGGGGGAGCTGCTGCCAGTCTCTTCCCAATCTCCATTATTCTGAACTAGTGGAAGTTCAAAAATATTTTTAAATTATAAAAATAATATATTTATTATGGAGTACTTGGCAAACTATAGATCTTTCCGGGGGGGGGGGGTGTCATCGTGTCTTGACAACAATAGTCCAAGACTCAAAATATCTATGCCATGCTGGTCCACTTATCAGAAAGGAAATGACTTCAGTGTTTTTGATCAGAGATTCAAATGGCAACTTTTCCGGAAGGTATCAATAGCGACTCAGCTGCCAATGCCTGACCCCAATGCAACTAATTGGGTTTAGAGTTCAGAGATGCAGAGCCAAATGCTAAATTAGTTTCATAAATTAACGGATCTGGCTACCACCCTCGGATGTGCCCTGCTCTGAGATGTCACTGGTGTTTGGAGAGTGGGCACTTGACTTGTAGCCCAGCACACCCACACACACACACAACCAGTCTTTAGAAAGAAGGCAATCTGAACAACTTTCAACCACATACACATACAAATAACATTAATAGAGATAGTTCACAGATAGAAGAAAACTGCAGTCCTTTGTTTTAGAATATGGGAAGTAGTAATTATGATGAAACTATTAGATAGAAGAACAGCTGCCATCTTATATATAGTTTACTGGAAGTACATCATATTAAATTTAATTACATTCAACTAGGATTTAGGGTGCATCTACACAGTAGAATTAATGAAGTTTGACTCCACTTTAATTGTCATAGCTCAGTGCTATGTAATCATAGAAGTTTTATTTTTACAAGCTCATTAGCCTTCTCTGCCAAACAGTGGTGGTGCCTCACCAAACTATAGGAGCCTCTGGTGGCACAATGGGTTAAACCCTTGTGTCGGCAGGACTGCTGACCAAAAGGACAGTGGTTTGAATTCGGGGAGTGGGGTGAGCTCCCATCTGTCAGCTCCAGCTTCTCATGCGGGGACATGACAGAAGCCTCCCACAGGATGGGAAAACATCTGGGTATCCCCTGAGCAATGTCCTTGCAGATGGCCAACTCTCTCACAACAGAAGCAACTTGCAGTTTCTCAAGTCACTCCTGACATGAAAAAAAAAACCCAAACTATAACTCCCAAGGTCCCATAGCATTGAGTCATGACTATTAAAGCAGTGCCAAATTGTATTAATACAACAATGTAGGTGCACCCTTAAAATGCAGTCCTCTGTGTGACTTCAGCCATAAGTTCCACAAACATCTGTTTGGTTGTGTTTTCTTTTTTTGCTCTCTGAATCTTGGCCTCTCCAAAGAGTCTTTACTCCTTTAAATTAGACCTCTTTCCTTCCTTTGCTAGCCACCCCTTTCTGCCAAAGCACACATTTTGCCTGTGCTCTTGGAAAACCTAGTTATATGTCAAGGAGATTCTTTCAAAGAGTTTGTTGATCCTTTTTTAAAGATGGAGTGGCTAATGCTGCCCATTTTGGTAACCTGTTTGCTATATCCAGTGTCTGCTTCCCTGCTGGTACTTGGTGAGTTTTGTTTTTTTCCTTCACATTTAAATGTTGTGAATTTTGGCAAATCTTGTTTCAAGAAAGAAACTGAAGCAAAAATGACCTCTCTTCCCTTCTCCTCTATGCCTCAGATTATCCGATATCACTGTACCATGCGGATTCCAGACTCTCCACTGTCCTTTGGCTCCGTCCTGCCTATTGCCTATATGAGCAATGGACCAGAGAGACTTTGGATCCTAGTCAGGCTTCTCATTGGACAGCAACCATACTGGTGGAAGCAAAGGTTGAAGGTATTCAGAGAGTGGGGGGCAGGAGGGTGGAATCATGTGAGAAGTTGCCCATGACAAGTTCTTT